TAATTCGTATCACCCTGAAATACAACAAACACGGTACATACGATTAAGAGAATTGTTCAAATATTTTATTTTAATCTTTCCTTTATTTTAATTGACTGTCTTGTTGGCCGATCAGATCGCAAGTGTGACTGCAGGGCAAAGTATAACTGGGTTTTCAAAAAAAAATCCCAGTACCTAGTATCACGGAGTCTGGAATTGTGCCCGGAATATGGCAATAGGCTCACCTCCTATTACATGGAAATTATAACATAAATAGTGAAAACTGGGTGTTACATTAAACAGTGGCATTAAGTGCCATAATGTGCACCTCTTCCTACCCCTTCGGAAATGAAAGGCGTAATGTTATGTTATGTTATTATTTTATTTCTAACCGACAGACTGTAAAATTCACATTAAATTAATTAAACAACCGTATTTAATTAACTAATGAGCTCTCACTTATCTAACAATGCAAGGAAAGAGCAACATTCACTTTCTCTTTTCAACAATTACATTAATCAAATTAATAAATCTGCTGCACTTTTAGAAACTAACTAGCTTTTAACCGCAGTTTTACTCGCGAGAGAAGTAGATAAACTCCTTCTCCGTACTTCAAACTCATATGTATTTAAGAAGACTGGTTGCGTAGCATAGGCGGTGCGTCGCGAGCTAGTCATAATAGGCCAATAACGCACTTGTAATGCCTCTGTAGCGACACATGGTAGGTACATGTCAACGGATGACGTCACAAAAATCCTACATCGCACACGCAAAGTTTACATGTAAAATAACACGGATAGAAAATCCTAACGAACAACTGTTGGGCAGTAAGCCCGCCAGGCACGATCACCTAGCCTGGTCGGAGGATCCTCCTTTTCCGATCTTAGGGAACTTTACTCTCTGTTCCCTAAACCTCTAATGTTTCGGATGTTCATGGGCGGCGCCAATTGCTTTCCATCAGGTAATCCGTCTGCTCGTTATAATGAACTATTACTGTCACTGACTCAGATAATATCATAATATCCATTGATAATAACAATCACAATAATTATGACTATTTCATTATTATTGTTCCCACAGTATTGTGGTGTGAGGAAGTTGGCAATTGGTCACGCGATGCTAATTCCCTTACGTTTCCGATGTTTTGTCGTGTTTGTTGCTAATAAAAGTATCATGTCCAATGTCTAACGGTGTTATTTATATCGTACATACATATGTGCCAAGGTACAGGTAACTAATGGACTTTTGCATTATTTTTACAGCACAATAGAAGTAGATATGTTCATTTCCTAAGAGGTAGATAGTAGTATATAAGTATGCTTAGAAGTAAGTAAAGTTAAGTAAAAGCAAGTAAAACAGTAAAGTAAGCAAGAAAAGAGTAAGCTCAACGCATATTTTTCATCTGTATTTACATTACATGCGTTTTCCACTACTAAAAATGTGCGTAACGCAACGTCAAAATGATTTATTTCAATTAGACCAGAAAGGCAGTTTTTAACGTCAACAGAAAAATTCAAAAGTGAAGCTATTTGCTCATTCCAAGGTACAGATTCCTATGGAGAAGAACGAGCAAGAAACTCCATAGATTACCCTTTTTGAATCAGGTTCACAGTACCTACATTTTTTAGTTACATAGTTGAATCACAAATATAGACCTTCTCTGTATTAGCTAGATATTCGAAATTGTTGTTGTTACTACCAGACCAAGGATAATATGGAATGGTCAAAAATAATATAAATAATTTACATGGTGACTCAGATATAATGTTAATCTTATGTATAAAAAGAATGTAGTAGCTATCAAAATGATATAGTAAACAGTAAACATACAAATCTCTTTTTATATTTAATAAATGCATTTTCCCCCCAAAAGGATTTTTTCCTGTCTCGTGAGTGCATTTACAAACACACACGTTCACATACACATCACACCCAGACCCGAAACAACAATCTGTGGATCACACAATTAGTTGTTCCATGCAGGAATCGAACCCACGAAACGTTGTGCGGCAGCCAGTTGCCCAGACATTGCACCAACCGTGCAGTCTTAGTACAAAATCAGTTAAATACAAATTGCATATAAATAACATAACATAACATAACATCACGCCTTTTATCCTCGAAGGGGTAGGCAGAGGTGCACATTATACGACTGTACAATGTAACACCCACTTTTCACTATTTATGTTATGAGTCCCATGTAATAGGGGGTGAGCCTATTGCCATATACCGGGCACAGTTCCAGGCTCCGTGCTACTACTGAGATTTTTTTTAAAAACTCAGTAATACTTTGCCCGACCCGGGAATCGATTCCGAGACCCCTTGCTCGGCAGTCGCAATTAAGACCACTCGGCCAACGAGGCAAAGAGTAGTGCATATAAATACACATATAATAAACAAATTATACTACACATTATGTCTGTCCATTGTACACAGTTTGCGCGAACAGTAATTATATAGGCGAAGTGTTAAATTACATACTATAGCTGCTACTTCGACCTTTCAGTTATGGTTTAGTAATAGTTAACCAGTATATGGTAATAGATAATATAGTGTTATCATATATGTGATTAGGGGTTATATGTTAGAGCTGTGTTTGACGTGTGATTGGCATGTTCAAAGGATTATGATTCTGCCTTCGAGGCAATGAGCGACAGATGATTTGTTCGTAGAAATGTTTATAGGGTGTTATATTATTTTTATTGCTCCATATACCTGTAATTGATTTTTTACAACATAGTTGATAGCATGTGTTTAAGATTTCAGTGGTGATCAAAGATATTATGTTATATACTGTTTATAAATCCATCGAAATATGTCAGATAATTTATGAATCCATTTTGTATGTCGAATTGTGCTACGTTAATTAAATGGTAGTAAATAAAATAAATTACAGTAATATTTTAAATAAGTAAGTTTCTGTGTTTAGATGTTTGTCTATCAATCACGCTGAAACTACTGAAAGAATTTTAATGAAATTTGAACACATAAGCTGAGTATGGGCTGACTTAAGTAATAGGATACCCTATATCCCGATTAAATGCATCCATTGGATAAAACAGGAATACGCGAGCAAAGCCGCGGGTAAAAGCTAGTTTATCATAAAATTAACAGATTACTATAAAATATCATATTTCCCATCTTAAATTTATTTAATTAGGAATGAAAGTAAACCTCAATTACGTTCAACCGCATATTTTTATTATTATAACATTTTTTTTTTCTACCATAAAAATGTCCAATCATTACTAGTTAATACATAGATCGAGCATAAAATACTTCTCACACACAATATTTGGTATCAGCCATCTTTTCCATACCCTCACAATGGACTGGACTTAATGAGTCCGTTGTTCTATGGGAACTGATCAGGAGGATAAACTTGATTCAGTTCATTGTTGAACAGACCGGGATTACAAAGGAATTTATGTTCAATATTCATTACGTTGATTATGTCAGTTGCTAACCAACCACATAATATATTAACAGTTAGAACGCCATTTTGTTTAATTTATATATGATCTATTTTAAAAACATACACGTACTAATTTCAAGCACAAAAGCATGCTTCTATTGAGCACTTGTCAGTTAGCAGCATGTGTGTCGGAATTTTGCTCAAAGTTAGCATGCTCATAGGCGTTCGATTTTTAAACATTTTTGAACATGTTCAATAGAATAGCATGCTATTTTAGAGCATATACCTACTTTTTTTGTTTTAAAAACGTTGCCCCACATTAGGATTTTCTCCTGTGTCGTGGGTGCGTTTACAACGTTTACATACAAGTTCACATATACAATGACACCCAGACTAGAAACAACAATTTGTGGATCACACAAAGTGTTGTTCCGTGCGAGAATCGAACCCGCGACACGTTGCACGACAGCCGGTTACCCAGCCACCGCACCAATCGTGCTGTCATATATGTATCAGTACCTACCTTTAAAGATTTAATTATTACAGTGTACAATTCAGCTTCAACTTATGTAAACGTATTTTTTATTGTATCCACAACGTAACTTAGTAGCAAGATCAGTTAAAAAACAATTGCTAAACAAGTTAGAACCAAATGATTTAAAATATAAGTAAGAAGAAGACTTAAGAATATCCTTACGAATATTATCTTTCGATGAAACGAAACGAAAGTATGACCTTAACATGCAAATAAAGACTTTGAGTTTGAGTTTGAAAGATGTTTCGTACTCTAAGTGCCACGGATAATTTGTCTGTAAGTTATAGAAATGAAAATAAACGTTTTTTTCTATAAATAAACAATGGTAGGTCATTTACCTCACAGAGAATAGTCCAGCAATGAACAATCATGGACTGTTGTTGCTAATGATGATGAAGCCATTTTCCTAAACCCGTGTATCTAAAGCCAAAGTCCTTAAAAGAATAGCGATCAAAATCTTCAATAACAGTGCGTGAGTTGCACAAGAAGTTTAACAAAAACAATACAATTGTAATCTTTATATCTGATAAGAGTATTTTGAGAACGAAACAGTGTCGACCTCACCTCGACCCCATCTAACTCGCACTAACAATGAGCAAAGCTGACCAGTGTCACTTTGAAGTGTTAAACAATTATATAACTTATACAAGAGTTCACACAAACGATGTAATTATATTTATGAATGTCAGGTGATGAACCTTCTCGGTGATGTATAAGTTGTGAAGGTTAATTAGCTTGAGTCATGTTTTACTAAGCTAAATGCTGGTATTTTTATTAGACTAATTTCTATCACTAGAAGGTTTAAGAAAGGGTTTTTTCCTTAACAGTTTGACTGCCGACAGATAACTGTTGAAGGTAAATCCTCTGCTATCGTGGCCCATACCTTGTCCCCCATGGCGTTCAAGGGGTTAAAAACCATTCACATTAATTTATAATCGATCAAGTTACAACTTTGGTGTAATTCCGAGTAATAATAGTTGATTTAGATAATTAGTCTACAAATGGCTCCTTAGCTGTAACTGTATAGGAACATACAAACATTGTGACGTCACGGACGCGGCGAACAGCTGATCGGAGTGTGTAAAAGTCGAGTAAATAAAATAGAAACAGCGATCGCAGTGTAATAGTTTATTGCTAAAAGTACAGCTTACAGTACAATAAAGTGCGTCTATAGTTATCTAGTGACAGTGTTCAGTGAATCCAGAATAAACTAAAAACTAAATAATTAAACACAACCATTCATCTTTTACCACCCGCCACTTAAAATATTAATAATCAAATAAACAATAACTCCTAAATAAATGACAATAATAAGTAATAACAGCATTTAAAACTAAAGCAGTTTACTATATATAGCGGTTACAAAGTCCTGAGTCTGAATATTGTGTGTCAAGTGTTGATATTAGGTACCTAGTGTATATTTGTCTGAGTACCTACATAATTATAGAGTGGTCATGGCTAAGTGCGGAGGTTGTGGCAAATTTATCTCGTCGGCCGAGTGCATTCGTTGCACCAGGTGCCCAGGTGCTTATCATCCCGGCTGTGTGGGTTTTCCGGCGGCAGCCAAGGTATCGCCGACCTGGCTCTGCCCGGGCTGCAAGGCCAAGGCACCCAGGCAAGACAACTCGGCCACTCCCGTTAAGAGTGCCATGGCCGATTGCTGCACGGAAACCCAAAACCCACTGAGTGACCCTGCCGCGAGTGCCACCGACCTAAATGTGGCGTATGAAATTAGGTGCTTTAGGCAGGAATTGGGTGCTATGAGGGACGAGTTTCGTCAATTTCAAAGCGAGCTCCTGAGTCTGCGCATGACAGTAAATGATTGCAACCAGCGCATGACCACAATTGAAAGCAAAGTGTCCGACATTGAGAGGCGCTTTGAGGAGCAAAGTCCGGCGAACTTCGACGCTGTGGAAGCAAGCATTACAGCTTTAAAAACACAGCTGAACGACCGTGATCAGGAGCTCCTACAGAACGACCTGATAATTGCTGGCATACCAGAGACAAAGGGTGAAAACGCATTCCACACAGTAAGGGTTTTATCGGCGAAACTGGGTGTCACCATGGACGAGCAGGATATTGTAAACATCGAGCGCATCGGTGCTGTGAGGCGTAATTTTATCGAGGGTGTTGACACGCCGCCGGGAGAACCACGGGCGCGTGTCATTGCGGTGCGACTGGCGCGCCGCGGTGTCCGCGACCAACTGCTGCGAGCGGCGCGCGTGCGACGCGGCCTCACCGCGGCTGACCTCGACGTGAGCGGCCCGCCGCGTAGGGTATACGTAAATGAGCGCCTCACACAAACGAACAGTAAATTGTTCCATAGCGCTCGTGAGGCTGGGCAGCGGGCTAGGTATAGGTACGTCTGGACAAAGGACGGACGCATCTATGCGCGTAAGGAAGATGGGGCGCCTGCTCAACGTATCCGTAGTGATGCGGACCTGGCGCAGATTTTTGGCAGTGGTCGAGTTGGCTGAGATTTGTATGGTGGTTACTTCTAAGTTATTTGTTTAGTATGTACGTTAATAATTCTTGCTTTGTGAGGGTACTGATTTTTCTATGTAGGTCGATTTTTTTGCTTGTTATTATTTTTCAATACCTTCTATAAATGTTCGTGTTGGAGTAATGTGTGTGTATCTTTGGCGCTAATTAAATTCCTATTGTGTTATCATTGTGTAATCACAATGTCCAACTGTTTGTTTTATGTCCTGATGTTGGGGGCTGGATGGAGGTGCGCTCCCTGCAGTTACTTATGTTTCCTTCTTACAACTACGTATTTTTATAACTTCTTTAGTGTTTACCTATTCAATAGTGGTATATGTACATATATAAATGGTATATTTTTTTACAATGCTATAATTATAACAACTACTTATACAATATTTAGTTACAATATAATAATAAGTAAATACAAAAATTACATATCTATTTTTATATATTTAATCATAGTTTCTGGCTTGCACAAATTTGGTTGTTACATACACCTTATACGCTTTTTACATTACACATGACCTCAAAACATTTTAAAATTGGTTTTATAAATGCTGGCTCGCTGGGTACTCATCACGACGAGTTTATTGTTGCCATGGATAGACATAGTGTTGATATTATGGCAATAAATGAGACTTGGCTCAGGGATGGAGAGGAGGGGCGTGCACCGATCGTACCTGGCTACCGTCTGCGTCACCTGCCGCGCCCGCTGAGCGTGCGCGGCGGCCGCGGCGGCGGAGTTGGGTTTTATATAAAACGAGGAGTCAATGTGCGTGCGCACCCTCACCCGGTTGACCCGTCTCATGGTTCGGTCGAGCAAATGTGGTTAGTGTTGAACATTAATGGTACGAGGCTTGCCGTAGGCACGGCATACAGGCCACCATGGTTAGATATCGATTTATTTTTCGATGGTCTCACTGCTTCTATAGACTCGCTTTCATTTTGTGACCACACTGTTCTCCTTGGAGACTTTAATATAAATTGTTTGAGCTGTGCTGAGATAAAAGTTAACAAATTGAATTCATTTTTGAAATGCTTTAATTTAAAGCAAATTATAACGTCTCCAACACACTTCACAAATACTACCGAGACCCTCATTGACCTTGTCTGCACGGACGCTCGCGTTATTGGCCATGTGGTAGACCCAATAGAGGCGCTGGGGGCGCATGCTTTTGTGGCAGTGATGTTTAACTTTAGAAGGAACAAGCCGCTGCCACTAACCGTAACCAAGAGGAGCTTAACTAAAATTTGCCCTAACAGGTTTAACGATGACTTGCAATCTATCGACTGGCATATAACTGGTCAGACATGCAATATAAACGTCATGGTGGACAGGTTAAACCAATGTCTAATTAACCTTTTTGACAAACACGCACCTGTCAAGACGCATGTTATTAGGGAGAAATCGTATCCATGGATTACGGATAACCTTAAACTCATGATGAATTTGAGAGACAAAGCCTATGCAAGTTATATGGAAACTAAGTCAGAATCAAAAAAAAAATATTACAAAGACCTCAAAGCACTCGTGAGAAAATCTCTATTTTATGAGAAGGTAGCTTACTTTAGGACGAATATAAATAACAAAATTAAATATCCCAAAATCCTTTGGAATAATATAAAAACAACCTTGTTGCCTCTAAATCGTAATACCGAACTACCGTCGCACTTTACTGATCCGAATAAAATAAATACCCACTTTCTAAATGTACCAGGAACCATGATCTCATCTATAAGTAGTTTGAGTTATTATGAGTTTCACAGATTCGCTGACAGTACTTTTACACTGCGAACGGTTGATGACATTGATATTATTAAAATTGTTAAAAGTCTCACATCGAATGCCGAGGGGCATGATTGTATTACTCTGAACATGTTTATTATGACACTACCCTACACCTTGACATGCTTAACAAACATCATAAATACATCAATCACCACCTCAACCTTTCCTGACTATTGGAAACTGGCAATTGTACGCCCGATACCAAAAAAATGCTCGCCTACCGATGTGACTGATCTTAGACCCATTAGTATTCTGCCCCTGTTATCTAAGGTTCTGGAGAGGGTGGTAAATACACAACTAACACAATATCTAGAGGCAAATGCCATTCTTCCTGAATTACAATCAGGCTTCAGGAGGGGTCGTGGCACGACGTCAGCTTTGCTTGATGTCACTGATAACATACTGTCTGCACAGGACAAGGGCTTCTGTACTATCTTGGTGCTATTAGACTTTTCCAGGGCTTTCGATGCCATAAATTTAACGCTCCTGCTGTCGAAACTGGCTTTTTATGGCTTTGATACTCCAACTGTAAGATGGTTCGACAGCTACCTCAGCAATCGTGCTCAGTACGTCGAATTACGAGATCAAAAGGGAAATATCAATAAGTCACAAACGACTCCCCTAATAAAAGGCGTGCCTCAGGGCTCAATTTTAGGCCCCACATTATTTATTACATATAGCGCAGACATAGTAAAGGAAATTAAGCACTGTCAATACCATATATACGCTGATGATCTTCAAATATATTTGTCATTTAAACCTCAAGACTATGAGTCTGCCACCAAAAAAATAAATAAAGATCTGGAGGGTATATTTGAATGGTCGGAAAAAAATTCCTTAATACTAAATCCAGCCAAAACCAAATTTATGATCTTTGGCACCCCAGGCTTATTAGATAAAATTCCACTGAGCACTTCCGTAAGCATTAATGTAAAGGGTCAAATTGTAGAAAGAGTAAGTGAGGCGAGAAACCTGGGCCTTGTAATGGATGAAGGTCTAAGGTTTGAACGGTTTACTTCTGATTGTGTAAGAAGTTGCTTCTACCGTTTGAAAATTTTATATAAAATACGACCCTACTTGTGCGAGGAGCTGCGTGAGCGGTTGGTGGAGAGTTTGGTTCTGTCAAAACTAAACTACGCAGATACCGTTATAGGCCCCAGGCTTTTGGCACGCACCGGGAGATTAATACAAAGAGTACAGAATGCCTGCGCACGATTTTGCTACAGTGTTCCACCAAGGAGTCATGTAACACCATTTTTGAACAAACATAACGCATTAAAAATGAAATCACGACGGAAACTCCACCTCGCCTGTCTAATGTTCGACGTGATAAAACACAAGTGTCCTCCATACCTGTACTCTAGGTTTGAATGGGTTAACAGTCACCGGGAGCGTGAGGGTAGGCGGTGTGCACAGCAACTCGCTATTCCTCGGCATAGAACTGCAGCTTTTCGAGGCAGCTTCCGTTACGCGGCTTCCAAGTGCTGGAATAATATTCCACCACCAATTAGAAATCTGAAAAATAAAAACACGTTTAGGTTAAAATTAAAAACTTTTATTTTGACATCCCAAATTAAATTTAACGACATTAATATTGACAATTCTTTTATCTAATTTCAGTTTATTGTTCCAATTTATTCAAATTATACTTACTTTTAGATGCCAACTTGGAAGTCTTTGCGTGTTGGTTGGGTGCTCGGCGTGTGAGTATTGTTTTAATGTGCCTCGCCATTATTTTAATAATTGTGTTTTAATTGTGATCATTCCGCCACTCGTAAACTATGCTGGAGTTTTTGTGTCCTGTGGCCAGAGGCCGGCGGCTGTTTCTTTGTGGGTACGCGTCGGAATGAATCGGAGCTCAGCAGAGTTGTCACTAAAACTATCTTTGTTTGACAATCAAAAATGTGAAACAACCCACAATTAATTTAAAAACAAAAAGAGTATACGTCAAAAGTGACTACCTCTTATAGAGGTAATTGCATTTTTACATTTTGTTCGTATGTATATACATGTACTATCGGATATATATATTATTCTATTCACAATTTTACACACACACACACACACATGCACATTTCAGCAAAATTTATATAATTTCATGTTTATTTTCTGTCCTCATTGAGGGGCGGCACCGCCGTCCGTGAGTCACTGCAGGGTGCCACCTGAAAACCAGCGTTGGGCACAAACGTCCAACCATATGCTGAGGTGGAGGCCCTTTTGGCATTAGCACGCGCAAATTAATATTATTATTTTGTTTATTAGAAATTTTTTTTTTTTTTTTTTATTGTCTATTAAAAATTCTATTATTATCGTTTTATTATTTTGTTATATTGTGATGTTTTCTGTTCTGATCTGTATTCTTGTAAGTTTATTATTAGTATTTTGTTTACTTATATTATGTATTTTTATTTTTTTATATTCTTTGTTTTCTGTGCGTGTAATTGCCAAATAAATGTTTTTTCTTTCTTTCTTTCTTTCTTTCTATATTAACTATTCTGACATGGCTATTTATATGCTTACAGATACCAACAAAATTATGAATAGAAACAATGTATCCGTCGACTCGAACATCATTTTTAATCATCGGTTAAAAAACAAATGACTGCTATACTTTCAAGAGTTCGAAAGCAAGTTACAACAAAAAAAGAGCAATTCTTGTCGAGTTGCATGTTAATATGATTACCAAAAAACTTCGTGTGTGCGAGATAATCACTGTAATCTTAGTTTAACCCAATATTAGAACAAAGAAGTAACTTGTAACCTTGCGGTACTAAGTAACTGAGCTATGAATACATAAACATGCAACCGCCTCTATTTACATACAGTGCAGGCCAAATGAAAGGGTACATGTACTACAATGTAAGAATGTTCTACATACGGTAGATGTGCCGTGCGTTTTATAACAGTGGTGGGTTTAGTCAGTGATTCTAGTACGTAATTGGGTATATCAGGAATTGACATTTGATTGAGAGAAAATGTAGTATAAATTCAGACATTATAATTAAGTAGACAGTATGTTGTATGTATGTATGATGCAAACGTCCATAGGCCACGGTAACCGCTTACCATCTAGTGGGCTTGTGCTTTTTTGCCACCGTCGTGGTATAATAAATTAAAATTTTTGAACCAAAACAGTTGACAGCGTCCATTTGTCCGTGAAAATAACTGAACAGGGACATTTTCTTAATTTACTGCGAGCATATCGATAAAATTTTTAGCAGTTCAAAAGGAGACCGAGGTACTATATTTCTTCTGGTCGATTTATAAAAGATATCTAGTCTGAAATAAGCCCCGGCCGGTCCAAGCACAAGTGTGTAACCTCCTTAAGTATAGAGAGGCTTAGTGATTATGCTAATCCACTGTCACATTCAGATTGAAATGTCGATACAGCCAGCACTGGGTGGCATTGAAAACAAACACACACCTATGATTGGTACAGCGACTTGTGAACACTATTATATGTAAATTGAAGATATTATATAGTACACAAATCATTAAACACTATCAAACGATGAATAGTTAGTTAAAGGTTTTCTTCATTTATAAACATATACTAAGTAAGACTAAG